CAGGAATCCCACCCAAACAAGACATCCATCATGTCATCAAAACTTGGGGGGCAGATCCTGTCAGCCATTCACCTTTCAAAATGAGTCCTCTGGAGTTAGAAGAACTAAGGAAGCAGCTGGACAAACTGCTTGAACTGGGGCTGATCAGACCAAGTACCTTGCCCTGGGGAGCCTCAATCCTGTTTGTGAAAAAGAAAGATGGAACAATGCATATGTGCATTAACTACTAAGCATTGAACAAAATAACAATCTGTAACAACCACCCCCTGCCCAGAATCAATGAGTACCTGGAATGGTTGAAAGGAGCAAAACATTTCACTAGTTTGGATCTAAAAAGCAGTTATCATCAAGTGCACATCAAAGCAGAAGACATACCCAAAACTGCATTTAACACAAGATATGGACAATACAAATTCCTCATTCTTCCATTTGGTCTGACCAATGCACCACCCACTTTTCAAAGGTTAATGAACAAAGTCTTGGGTGACTGCCTGGATAAGTTTGCCCTGGTATATCTGGATGATATTTTTATCTTTAGCAAAACACAAGAAGAACACAAAGTACATGTACAATACGTGCTGGAAAGATTAAGAAAAGCACAACTCATTGCCAATTTAAAGAAGTGTGAATGTTGTGTTTCAACTTCAATCCAAAGATTCTCTATGAATAAGTCAACACAAGTAGTGTGCTGTGACATTCAGAATACTCTATGAAAGCTTGAGTACACACAAGTACCATAGTACATCTCTGTATCATCTCACGAATTGGTTGTAACTACAAATCAACCTTCTAAGCTCAAATTATTATTAGACACTTAATGAGCTGCCTTCATCTATAAATCCTTAGTAGATTAAATAAAACCTATCAAAGTCAATTAAAGTGAAGACATAATAGATGGCTCTATAATGGTGTGCTTATTCAATGAACCAACCATAAGGCTCCAACATGTAGTCTACCATTAGGTAGAGCACCTACACCAACCATAAAGCTACACCTATGTAAACTACCATAGGATAAATCATCTACACCAAACATACAGTTGCATCTATCAATAAGCTATGCCATGGACTAATCATTAACTAACAAAAGGTAGAATGCCACTGAAGGATAAGCACCCACAAAAAGTATAAATAATGAACCACTCTTCACTTAATAAAAATTATCTTTGTTCAGTCTTGTTATTTTCTACTTGTCTGAATAATCACAACATTGTCTCTGATTGTGGTTTGGTGTTTACCTCTAAGTTCTGGCAAAGCTTGACAAAGTCATTGGGGATCAAGTATAACATGTCCACAGCCTACCACCCACAAACAGATGGCCAGACAGAATGCACCAACACTACCTTAGAACAATACCTCCGCATGTATGTGGATTACCAGCAAGATAACTGGGAAGAATTTTTGCCTCTTGCAGAGTTTAGCTATAACAATGCACAGAGTACGTCAACAAAACAGTCACCCTTCTATGCAAACTTTGGTTTCCACCCCACCTGAAATTTCTGTCCAGTCCATTGCCTGGTATTAATCCAGTAGCCAATTCCCTCTGTGAGCACCTGAAAGAAATTCATAAAGACCTCCAGAAGGAAATCAAGCTAGCCCAGACCAAACAGAAATACTACTATGATCAAAAACACAAAAAGGCCCCCAAATTTGCTGTTGGTGATGAAGTGTACCTGCTAAGAAGAAACTTGAAAACACAAAGGCCCTCTGACAAGTTGGATCATCAACGTCTAGGACCTTTCAAGATTGTAAAAAGGGTTGGAACTCATGCTTATAAACTGGATCTGCCAAACTCAATGCAAGTGCACCCTGTTTTCCATGTTGGCCTGTTGACACCCAAAACTCACCCCAAACTCCCAGACATCCCAGGACGTGTCATTGAGCCCCCACTACCCATTGTAGTCCAAGGCAAAGAACATTTTGTGGTAGACAGGATCCTGAATAGTTGTCACCAAAGGAATTGCCTTGAATACCTTGTTTCCTGGGAAGGTCACCCTAATCCATCCGATGACTCCTGGAAACCCATCAGAAACCTATGGAATGCAAAAGAAGCTATGCAAGCCTTCCATGTCCAGTACCCTGATAAACCCCACAAGTCACTACTTACCAGAAGGCTTTGCAGAGCTTGCCCTTAAAGAGGAAGATACTGTAATGACTAGTTTGTTCTTGGCAAATTATGAAAGTAATTTGGGCATCACCAATGGTCTTGTCCCAGACAAACTCATTAGTCTACCATTCATCTCAACCATTATAAGTCTCTCTCCTCCCACTCTTATCTTTGTCTTGGCTTTTTGTAAATTAATAGATTTGTTTATTAAGTTATTTTATAATTAGATTGCAGTATATAACATTTAGTATAAATACTCAACTTATTGTCATAATAAAAACAATATCCTGATATCTGTTTCCTTCTCATACTCTGTCCTTGTCTTCCCTTGTCTCCTACCATTGTTCTCCTACCTGTTCCTGATGCACAACACCTAGTACCTCTGCTTTTTTCCTCTGTCCCAACCCTGATCCTTACAATTGAGATGATTATAGATTTTGATGTGGTGTTGCAAAATCAAACAACACAAATGACAGAAGCTATAGATAACATTGTTGAAGACATGGGAGCTGTATCATTATATCAGTCAAACAGATATAAGAAATATACCCAAGATCAGATAGAACAGTTTATCTGTGTAAAGCAAGAAGAAGGCATGTCAGTCCCAAAAGCTAATATGCTGTGCAGTATTCCTTGAAGCACTGCATATGAATTAATAAATGAATTCAATGTTAGTAGCAGCACTGTTCTGTCTGGAAACAATCCAAGAAAAACAAACAACAAACAAAAGAAACTGTTCCCTCAACACTTGGCATTTCTAGTCAAACTCTTTGATAAAAATCCATCAATTGTCCTTGAAGAAGCAAGATTAAAGTTGTGTAAGGTGTTTCCTGGGCTGGAAGTCTCAGTCAGTGGGCTTTATAAGCATATTGTTGAAAAATATACTTTATCCTTAAATCAAGCAACAAAATATACAGCTGAACAAGATGCACCTAGGACTATCAAACTTTGTTTTGATATCATTGCTCAATGGAAAGCAGCTAGTGTTGATTATCAAAATAATTGTGTATTTGTTAATAAAGCCAGATTCCACACTCAAATGATTAGAGGTCATGCATGGTCAAAGAAATGTGATCCAGCAATTGTGAAAGTTTATACCCAAAAGGGCATTAATATAAGCATTGTTGGCTGTATTGCTTTATTTGGTGTTATAAACTTTTCAAAAGTTGAGCCTTTGAAAAAAACATATGCAGAAAAAATTGAAAAGGAATTTCCCCAGCAACACACAAGCAAGAAAAAAAAAGCCAGAACAACTTCCAAAAGGCACTACAGCTTACCACATTGTAAAATTTATGGAATCTGTAATGGATGTTTTGGATAAGCATAATAAAAAGGGCATATTTATAGTTTTAGATAACTGTAGAATTTATCATTATTGCTACGTTATCAATGCCATTAACAATAAAGGTTACAGACCTTTTTTATGTCACCTTACTCACCTTTTTTGAAAAGGTCTGAAAACCAAGTAAAAATACTGTAGCTATTCCACTCTGTGCACATACCTCCAGGATTAAAAGTATTCTGTCCAAACTAGGGAATGACACACTGTTGGTTACCAATTTGGAGAGGATAATACTAAGCCCAAAAGTAGAGACAGCAATAAGAGGAAACTGAGGATAACAAGGTCTGGACTGAAGCCCAAGTAGATCAAAGAAGAATAGGTAAAGAGAGGATAGAAGATGCTTTTTATTCATTCAAAATAGTTGCTTATTTATACTAATTTACATATGATACAATTGACTAAGTATGTCTTGGATGAAGTCACACTCACCCTGAGTAGACTGAAGACAAGACATACTGTTCTGTTCAATTATTTAATAAACCCAAAAGAAGTAATCCATGTGAGTCCAATAAGGAAAAGTGTGCTGGCCAATGGAATTATAGGATTTAGTATAGTGGCAACAACACTGATGCATATGGTATTTAGTGATATGTGACAGGTGGATAAAAAGATAGAAATAAAGGTTAAAATAAAGATTATCACTGATAATGGAGGGAAATGGGTTTGGGGAAAAAGGGGAATAGTCTCTTCAAAAGAATTGACTATCTAAAATAAAATGAAATTTACACCCACAAGTGAATGTAAAAGAGAAAGGGATATTGTAGGATACAAATATAAAAGAAAACAGTGAACAACAAGTTCACAAGGAAAACAGTACAATCAAGAATATGCAGAGACTGACTTGTACAAAACACAATGGATAATTCACAAGTAGAAATCAACAAAATGATACACTTGTCTCTGAAAGATCCAATTGAAACAGAAGAATAAGATAACAAAATAAAAGAATAAGAAATATTCAGAAAGAAGTATCAAGATAGAATTCGACAGTGTTTATTAGTGAAAATAACTAGGAGTATTTATACTAATAGACGATAAGGTAAAAATATAATGAAGTCAATTCATATAAGCATTGTAGAGTGTAGTAATAGTGCAATTCTTAATGTGATTATACTATTACATAGCTTACAATAATATCAATGGGATAATAGAATAAAATAAGATGAAATATGCCACAAAATAAGGTTAACACTACTGAATTACCAAAAGAATGGTAATTAATAAAATGAAAAGTGTGGACTGAAAAAGGGAAAAATAGAGAAAAGCGTGGTGTAGAAGAAGAAAAGTATGGACTGAAAATGGAGAAATAGAGAAACGTAGTGCAAAAAGGAAAATGTGGTGTCGAAAAGGAAAAGAAAAGTGCACACCGAAAAAGGGAAAAAGGAGGAAACGGAAAGACAAGGAAAACTTAGCGATTCTGTCTTCGCCGGACAGAGGAGAGCTGCGACACACGTCATGGTTCGGTACCGAACAAAAGAGAAGCATGGCCCGTTCTATCTTCTTGGTGGTTGAAGCTTGAAATATGCACATACACCGTATCAACACTGTAATTGCTTCCGTGGCGCAATTGGCAGCGCGTCTGATTGTTAATCAGGAGGTTGGTGGTTCGAGCCCACCCGGGAGCGTCGGTTACTTTTTTATTAATATTTACTAGTAAAAGTCATTGTCTGCAGTGGCCCTTAACTGTTAGCCCTTTTGACTCATGTTTTATCCAAACTAAAGAATAAAGAAACTGATAGATGACAGGAATTTATCTAAGAATACATTCTTTTATTTATTGGAATTGTAATTGTTGTCTTTGATCTTAGGTATCAAAGGAAATTCAGACAGTTAAACATGTAGTAGAACTCTGTTCTTTATTCATTCAATTGTGTACTTCTTTTACACTGTTTCTACACACTTCTTCTGATAACTTATGATATAATAATTACATCTTCAGGGCAAGCTATCCTTTAGTCTAATTTCAACTGTTCACCTTTCTTTTTTGAGTTGGCTTCTTCACTAAAGATTTCATTATCCATAAAAGGAAAGTGACATCACAACAATACTCCCCTCCAAACTCTTGATTGTCCTTGATCAAGAAGGGATGTACTGACTGTTCCAAGGATCTTTGGTTCTGTAGGCAAGAGGCTGTTGGATTATACCACGTTCTGATGACTCCTGGTGTCTTGACTGATTTCAATCTATTGGTGTGCACCCAAGAAGTATATGGAACACCTTTCATAGTTGTGAGCTTGTATATGTTGGTTTGTGTATTCCTGTCAATGACTTGGTAGGGTCCTCTCCACACAAATTCCAGTCCTAGGCAGCTCTCATGGCACATTAAAACAGGATCTCCTAATGTTAAACAGGTGTGGTTTCACGGTTGCATCCCATTGCTGCTTATCTTGGTCACTGTTATTCTTGACTTGATCATTGGCTTCTGCACGTGCTTTTTGTAGTTTCCTTAGGGATGTCATAGTTGTATGAACCAGAGAACAGACAGGGAAAAACAGGGCAGAGGTACTAGGTGTTGTGCGTTGAGTCAGGGAACAGGAACAAGAAGAGAACAAAGGTAAGAAGACAGGAGAAAACAAGGACAGGTGCAGGTAAGGAAACAGATATCAGGATATTGTTTTATTATGACAATAAGTTGATTATATATACTAAATGTTATATACTGCAATCTAATTATAAAATAACTTAATAAACAAATCTATTGATTTACAAAAAGGACAAGAACAAAGATAAGAGTGGGAGAAAAGAGACATGCAATGTTTTAGAAATGTCTTAGAGAAATGAGTTTGTCTAAGACAAGACCATTGGTGATGCCCAAATTACTTTCATATTGTCCCAAACAAACTAGTCATTACAATGGTATTGGGATCCAATGTTCCCAGTTTAGCTTGTACTCCTAGGAATGGCCTCAACACATCTCCAGGTAATCTTGGCTCTTGTCTGTAGGTCATATAAAAAGGACTGAATCCAGTGGTACAATGTTTTCTGATTCTACAAGCCCATAGGGCTGTGTCCAGGTACTCATCCCATTGATGGATTGCTCCATTAGCATACTTCCTTAGCATTTGTTTGAGGATGCCTGTCATGTTCTGAATTCAATCCAAAGATTCTCTATGAATAATTCAACACAAGTAGTGTGCTGTGACATTCAGAATACTCTATAAAAGCTTGAGTACACACAAGTAACATAGTACATCTCTGTATCATCTCACTGATTGGTTGTAACTACAAATCACCTTCTAAAGCTCAGTGTACTATTGGACACTTAACAAGAGCCATCTTCATTAATAATCCTAACAGAACAATATTGACCTATCAGAGTCAATTGAGTAAAGACTCATAATAATTAATGGTTTCAATAATGGAGTGCTTATCCCAGAAACCAACCATAGGGTTGAATCTAATAATACTACAACTAAGTAAAACATATGAGCCAACAATAAGGTAGAATGTCCCCACCAACCATTTAGTTGTAATTGTGAAGCAGCCATAAGGTTGACTATCATAACTACCATAAGGTAGAATAGATTATCCTACCATAAGGTAGAAGCCACTGAAGGATAAGCACCCACCAAAAGTATAAATAGTGAACCTTTCTTTACTCAATAAAAATTATCTTTGTTCAGTCTTGTTAATCCTACCTGTCTGGAAAATATCATATCCCAACAATCTCCTTATAAATCCCAAAAACCTCTTCATGTGTAGTCATTACATAGAGACTCCATATAAAAAATAATTCTTAAATTTTTCAAACAAACTCATAGGGTGGCTACAATGTCTAGCATGTGAATAGCAAAATACTTTAAACTGTATAACTAATTTATTACCAAACACACCTTATGTTTCTGAACAATATTAACGTTTCCAAAATAATAAGTGTAAATGTTTTTTAAAAAGATGAGACTACCAGGGGTCGAACCTGGAATCTCCTGATTCGTAGTCAGACGCCTTGTCCATTGGGCCATAGTCTCCATCTCTTTTTGGGATTTTCTAATTTAGATAAAATACTTTTAAGCCCTGAGGTATGTGCACAGAGTGGAATAGCTAGTTGTTCTTGGTTTGGACTGAAGCCCATGTAGATCAAAGAAAAAGAATAAAAGAGAAGATAGAAGATAGTCTTTTATTCATTGAATTCACTTGATTATTTATACTAAATTCTATAGTGTACAATTGCACATACATGTCTAGTCTTTATGTTCTCTTCACAGTGAACATGTTAAGCCAAGACTGTTGTGTTCCAACTTCAATCCAAAGATTCTTCATGAATTGGTCAACATGAGTAGTATGCTGTGACATTCAAAATACTCTATGAAAGCTTGAGTGCACACAAGTACCATAGTACATCTCTGTATCATCTCACTGATTGGTCATAACTACAAATCAACCTTCTAAGCTCAATTTATTATTGGACACTTAATGAGCTGCCTTCATCTATAAATCCTTAGTGGATTAAATAAGACCTATCAAAGGCAATTAAAAGTGAAGACATAATAGATGGCTCTATAATGGTGTGCTTATTCAATGAACCAACCATAAGGCTACACCTATGTAAACTACCATAGGATAAATCATCTACACCAGCCATATGGTTGCATCTATTAATAAGCTATGCCATAGACTAATCATTAACTACCAAAAGGTAGAATGCTACTGAAGGATAAGCACCTACAAAAAGTATAAATAATGAACCACTCTTCACTTAATAAAAATTATCTTTGTTCAGTCTTGTTACTTTCTACTTGTCTGAATAATCACAAAGACAATATATTGTATTAGCATTTATCTTATTAATTATATTATATTATCTGTGTGTATTCACACAGGATAATGTGTGTTCCAAAAAGGTAAGACATGTGCAGCCAATAGTATTACTCTATTTGATAGCACAGTGTCTAGCACAGACATTTTTTGTCAGTTACAAATTTGGAGAGGATAATACTAAGCCCAAAAGTAGAGACAGCAATAAGAGGAAACTGAGGGTAACAAGGTCTGGACAGAAGCCCACGTAGATCAAAGAAGAATAGGTAAAGAGAGGATAGAAGATGCTTTTTATTCATTCAAAGTAGTTGCTTATTTATACTAATTTACATATGATACAATTGACTAAGTATGTCTTGGATAAAGTCACACTCACCCTGAGTAGACTGAAGACAAGACATACTGTTCTGTTCAATTATTTAATAAACCCAAAAGATATGGCTCTTCCCAATTGTGATGACCTAATTTGAACACTCCTTATTTTACACTATTTTCCTCACTATCAATACCACTCTTTTATTTTGCATCACTTCTGAGATTGTTTGGACAAGTAGATTAACAAGACTGAACAAAGATAATTTTTATTGAGTAAAGAAAGGTACACTATTTATACTTTTGGTGGGTGCTTATCCTTCAGTGGCTTCTACCTTATGGTAGGATAATCTATTCTACCTTATGGTAGTTATGATAGTCAACCTTATGGCTGCTTCACAATTACAACTAAATGGTTGGTGGGGACATTCTACCTTATGGTAGATTTCACTCTCTTTGACCTTATGGTTGGTGTCTATATTACTACCTTATGGTAGTATTAATAACTGCCACCTTATTGTTGGCTCATATGTTTTACTTAGTTGTAGTATTATTAGATTCAACCCTATGGTTGGTTTCTGGGATAAGCACTCCATTATTGAAACCATTAATTATTATGAGTCTTTACTCAATTGACTCTGATAGGTCAATATTGTTCTGTTAGGATTATTAATGAAGATGGCTCTTGTTAAGTGTCCAATAGTACACTGAGCTTTAGAAGGTGATTTGTAGTTACAACCAATCAGTGAGATGATACAGAGATGTACTATGTTACTTGTGTGTACTCAAGCTTTTATAGAGTATTCTGAATGTCACAGCACACTACTTGTGTTGAATTATTCATAGAGAATCTTTGGATTGAAATTAGAACATGACACCCAGTAGCATACTACTCAAAGGTATTTGATGGAGCACAAGGGAGTAGACATCCAGGCTGGAGAGAAGCCTATGGCATGGTAGAGGCTATCAATCACTTCTACCCCTATTTGGATAGATGCACCAACCTCATCATCAAAACAGATGCAACCACTGCCCTTGGACTCTTTACTCACAAAACAAAACACTGTAGAGATGACCTCTCATGGTTCAGAGTAGAGTTAAGCAGCCTAGGAGTGCACCAAGATATGGTGGTGCACCAATCAGGTGAGACACAGCTGACAGCAGACTGGCTATTTTATGTCTTGGACAGACCACAAATGCAGAAAAAGAGAAAGACCACAGACCCAGAAGACGTAGACATCATTGGTGCATTTGAGATAGGAGACACACTACAGGAAAGGAGTCTAGACAATATAATCTCATGGGACAAAGATGATGATAGCAAGGACTCAGACTATGATCCAACACAAGCCAAGGATGCCAGGGACACTGATACAGAAAATGACCTAGAAGACAAAGAGATGCTGGATGGTGATGCTGAAGGAACACTGGCATACCATTTTATGGCTTTGGATGACTTACAGGGACCTTACAAACTAGTACCAGAAGCACAATCTGATCCCACCATTGTCAAATAGACTGAGCTAGTAAGACTTTGGGAGAGCAAAGAGAGAGAACCCACACCAGATATGAATGAAGTGGAGGACATGCAAATGAACAGAGGAGTGTTGCATTGACAAATAACCACCCACACTATTGGATCCATGGGAGCCCTAGTACCATTAGTGACTAGAAGCATAGCCAGGAAGTGGTCTAAGGACATACACAGGAAATTGGCCCACCCAGGAATCACTAGAACACTAAACTATGTAAGAGAAAGAATTTGGTGTGAGGGTATCCAGAATGTTGTGGAGAAGGTGTTAAAGTCATGCCACACTTGCCCAATGAATGCAATCCAACAGAGATCCTATATGCCTATGAGTACATCAACTACTGCAGAGGCACAAGAGCATGTTTACATTGATTTGTTGCACATTGGGGACAACCAAGATTCAGAGATTGATGCCTTAGTGGTTTTAGACTCAGCTAGCAGATATTATGAGGTATATCCCATATCAGATATGACTTTCACATCCATAATAGATGCTCTTCAACAAAACTGGTTTTCACAACATAGACTCCCCACCATGCTCACTACACACCAGGAGATTTTTGGGATATAAAAGGAAATATTCTGAGGATAAAATCAAAATCTTCTTATGATTGGCTAATGTGTTTGAAAATGCCTTTTTGTTGTCCAGATGGTCAATTTCAAACTCTGCCTGCCTATCAGAACAAAGATAATTGACTTTGCAATTATAAAGTAGAAAATTGGCTGTAAAGACAAAAAATAGAATAAGAATCACCCCAAAATTATAACTCAGTCACTGATATTCCTCTCTTAGCATAATGTGTTATCCTTAAGCCCACAGTATTTGCAGCATAACAATGTTTAAAAATATTTATTGTAGGACTTGCACTGAATTGACTCTAGTGATCATTGTCCAAAAGAGAGAGCCAAACTTACTTACATTGAGCACAGTGCATTCATTCATTGACTGAATGTCAACTGCCTCTACAACTACTACATCATCAAAAGCTACTACAATTGTAGTGCTCAAGGGCAAGACAACATTGTTTCCAATGCTATCCTTTTGACCCAAGGAAAAAATAGTGTGAGAGTTGGGGCTTTCTACAGTCAATGTAAAATATTGTGGGTGGGTACACACCCAAAGATTTTTCTGGCCTTTAAGCAGTGTATCACCTTCCTTTCTGGATGAGCATAATCTTGCCTTTTATGGAACTGTGTCTAAAATCAAAGGTTTGCAAGTGTGATATAGCAGTGGCTATAGTGTGGATAGTTGATGACTTTGCCAAGATATAGATGGTGTTAAAAAGTTAATGAGATTAATAGCTATAGCTAACAACACAAGGAAACAGTGTATAAAAACCCCATCAATTGAATTGTAAATAAATATTGACCTTTTGTGTTTACATTAAGTATTGTTGGGACCATTAAGAGAAGCAAGGATTGCTTAAAGAATAGTTGCCTTGTTACAAATTGTACTCAAATTGTGTGTTGTATCCCCGCCGTCATACCCCCTTAGTTTTCCTGTTTCTAAGTTTGTGTCAAAACTCTATTTTGCTGTCCCTGCTAGAGACCAAATACCTACCCATTCATATCTCTGGTAGTCCTGACAATAACCCTAGTGCCCTATATTACACAAGTATGAAAAACTTCTTTCCTTTTGTGGATACCTCAATATCAGATTGTATTATCAATAAAATATATTGTTTATGAATAAAATTGTTTGTGAATAAAATTGTTTATTGTAATAATATAGCTAAAAATACTGTAGCTAAAAACATACTATTACTATAGCTACTGCTGTTCTAGGTATATTTCTTCATAGTGTTAAGAATCAGAGGCAAAAGGGGTGCTTGGTAAAATAAAGGTATATTTCTCAAAGATGCAAAGTGTGCATCTGCTTTCACTATTTATGCTATTCTACATTTTTACATATATAGAATTACTACAATAAGTTCTCCCAAAATAGGTGACCAGGTCTACCCATTTCCAACAATAGCAATAGAATCTATACCCTAAAATCATTATGATTTATCTTTGGAAGATAGATAACTATGCTCAGGAGTATACCCTAGACAGCCTAGATACCTTAGACAGTATAGAAGGAAGAAAAGACCACCTGAGACTGACTTGAAAGAGTCTTAACTTATCTAATAACAGAAGAGTGTATTAGTAATAGTTCAATCAAGAGAGATAATATGCTTACCTTGTACTTAATACTTGTCTTGAGAATAATGAGTTATATATCATCTATTAGAATGTAAAGATCAGGGTTGGACAGGAGAAAGAAGCAGAGGTACTAGGTGTTGTGCATCAGGAACAGGTAGGAGAACAATGGTAGGAGACAAGGGAAGACAAGGACAGAGTATGAGAAGGAAACAGATATCAGGATAT